TCTTTTTAATTAGTTAATTGTTATTATTTTTTAATGCAGGGAATGAAACCCAGGTCCTCATACACACTAGGCAAGGGCTCTACCACTGAGCCACACTCCCAGCCATGTCTCTTATTTGCAAAACCCAAGGACAACCAATGACAGCAAGGAGCTTAAAAACAGATGTACGGGCTGGGGTTGTGGTTGTGACAGATCACTTGCCTCGCATATGTGAGGCACTGGGTTCGATCCTCAACACCACATAAAAATAAATAAACAAAATAAAAATATTGTGCCCAAGTATAACTAAAAAACTATTTAAAAAAACAGATAGTAAAGGCCCCAAAGACTCTTCTCCTTGTAGGAGATTTGGGAAATATTAATATTGAGGCCTCTAATTGGTATAGCTTCAAAAAGCATTTCTTTGTACCATCTCTTAAGAAATCAGTGATAGCACTGAATACAAACAGGACAGGGCAAGTGTCACAGAGCCAATCATGCTTGTGCTTCAAATTTCATAGTTAAACTTTGTTTGCTTTTGGAGAGAGTAAATACAAGAGCAAAATATTTCAGACCTTTATCGTCCTGTTGTAAACATGTCTTTAAAACAAACATATTCAGAACTAAAATAAGCTATTTGTGAGATTGAAAAGTCACTAGGAAGGAAGTAAACCAGAGGTTTGCTACAAAATTCTCCCCAGGAATGAGATAAACAACAACAGGGAACTAATCATGTGCTTGAGTCATGCCCAAGCCACAGATGGTACTTAAGGGCGCCCAGCAGAAGGAGGCTCTAGACCTCCCTCTCCTCTCCTGAGTCCTCTCCTCTCTGCACCTGAGTCCTCTCTACTGACAACATGGGTTGCTGTGGCTGTGGAGGCTGTGGTGGCTGTGGAGGCTGCGGTGGCTGTGGAGGCTGTGGCGGCTGTGGCAGCTGTGGCAGCTGTGGCAGCTGTGGCAGGTGGGGGGGGGGGGGGGGGGGGGGGGGGGGGGGCGCCGCCGGGGGGGTGCGCGCCCGCCGCACCTGCTGCCACTCCTGCGGCTGTGGGAAGGGCTGCTGCCAGCAGAAGTGCTGCTGCCAGAAGCAGTGCTGCTGCTAGGCGGCCGCCAGCCTCTGGGCAGGTGCTGCTGGAGGCCAGGCTCTGTCCTGTGTTGAGATCTGTCTGTACTTGAATCTCTCTGGTTCACCTAAATATCAGCATGTGATTTAACAGAAATACATCTGACTAGAAATCAGAAGACCACATTTCTAGTCCACCTGCTGGAGACACCTCACCCACAGAAAATTCAGCCAATCTCCTGAGTCTCACCTATTTACCTCTACAATAATAAGGTGAGCTAAGAATCTCTAAGAACTCTTTCAACTTTAATAGCATGTGGATCTACTGAGTTCTCAAAACTAAAGTCACAGCCTCCCTCCCAACACACACACACTCTGAGGATTTCTCCCAAGTCTAACCAGGCCTGACTCCGCTTAGCTTCTGAGATCAAGGACATTTGGGGTGTTATGGCCACAGACAGCTCAGAGGGGTTTCCCTGTATGCTTAATATTTTTCTCCTGTCTGCACTTTGGCTATGGTGGACATTAAAATCCATTCATATAAAAAAAATTCACCCTCAGTCCAATGAGAACCATTAATCATAATCTGTATTACAACAAAATCAAGCCAAATCTCACTTTATATGGGCATAAAAATTCACATTAATGAGCTCAGTGGAATGAAACAATGCTTTTTAATATATTCCACTCATCTGAAATATTTGTTTGTGGAATTCCTCTACTTTTTTGTCTGCTTATATAGATTATATATTGTACATTTCTTACGTTTTCTAATGTTCCTTTATTTTCTTAAATATAACTTCTTAATAAAACATTGGGAAAATATAACATGTTTTGTCTTGGTTTTGCTTTGCTTGTTAAGGGATGGGGCTAATGTTTGGCAAAGTTGCAGACTTTGGGAATGTTATGAGATGAAAGATAAGAGATTCTGACTTTATTAGTTAATGCAAGCTACTGTGACAAATTGACACACAACTAAATAATGAATCAACATAATTTTTTTTTTCTTGTTGATATCAACTATTTTGAGCAGTTCTTGGTGGGCAGAAGGGCATGTGGGTTGAAGATGCTGTTCTTTACTTAGTGATTCAGGGATCTGGGTTTATAGAAGCGTCAACATTTTTTTAAACATCTCTTCTAATTTAGCTTTGCTGTCTCTTGTCTATAGTAGAATAAAAGAGGGTAGGCAAAGCCCACCACTTTTTTAAGTTTTTAGGCTTGTGACACAACTTCCTTTCTCTCTCTTACTATTGGCTAGAAGTAGTCACATGGTCCTACCTGATGGAAAGTGGGGTTCTGGGAAATAGGGAAGTGCAGAGATATAATATAAAAGGAAAATGCTTCGGTACTGCATGGTCAATTATCTATGTGTCCCTTGTAAAGCCCACACTCTAATGAAACTCTCAACTGGTTTGACTGTAGTGTATTTGGAAGAAGTTGGGCTAAGGCAACCTGGGTGGCTGTTTATCATTCATTCAGATCACTTGAGTTTCTCCTGAGGGTAGCCAACAGGAGCTATCTTAATGTCATGTGAACCTGCCATAGGTTGGAGCTTCAGCGACAAGAAGTGAGAAGATTGAGCAGAAGACAGTAGGCACTAGAGTATCTTGACCCTGGTTTTTTAAATGTTATATATCATTCCAGAGTCACAGTATAACTACAATTCAAATTGTTTTTGAAGGATCTGGTATATATGGTAACCCTAGATAATCTATTTTTTTAAATTTAATTTTATTTATTTTTTATTATTAGTTGTTCAAAACATTACAAAGCTCTTGACATATCATATTTCATACATTTGATTCAAGCAGATTATGAACTCTCATTTTTACCCCGTATACATATTGCAGATTCACATTGGTTCCACATCCACTTTTTTTACATATTGCCATACTAGTATCTAGAAAACAGTTTTTCCATACAATTTAATGAGATCACTATGATGGCTCTATGAACTGTCTTGTTCAATATCCATTTCAGTGTCCTTCTGGTTTTTCTTTCTGTATAGCAGAGGTAGGGTGATTAGAAACCACACTTCTCAGAATCCTCTGTATGTGGGGTCTGGATATTGCAACAATTAGATCAATCCTTGAGGGGCAGGGAAGACGGCATGAGGTGACACCCGTCTTCTTACTCTTGTCTATTACTGCTGAAAGGGAGGATGTGGCTGGGGGAGCACACTGAGTCCTGGATCCAGATAATACTCCTAGGACCATATAATAGTTTTGTGGAAGTTAAGAAACAGTTGCAGTGGCAATCATAGTCAAATTCCATGTTTCAGGGTCCAATCACTAGCTTGGAGGGTGTGACAGGGTAAGGACCGGAACAGTGGCAGGAGTCTCCCGGGCAGTAGCTACAGTGCTTGAACTTGGAATATTTTGTTGGGAGATCTCAATTTCCTTGCCTTTCTGACTACTGCAGAGGCAGCAGCTCCCTTGGGGCCAGTTCAACTGTGGTGTCCTGGGAAGTGCTCTGTCAGCCACTCTGGCCCGCAGCCTGTCCTTCTGCCCTTTCAACAATTTTGCACACAAAATTCCCCAATTGCATCTTGTCTCACTTAACGCAGCTAGCAGAACTTTGATTTTTTGCAAGTGACTGACACTGGTGAAATGCCCTTCTTATAACCTTTTCACATCAAATTTCAACCATCTTCCAAAGCTGAGTAGAATCCTAGTTCCCAGTGCCTCTGACAGAACCTGCTTCAGAGGATTTTGCTATTTGGGTGTGCCATGTGACAAGTTATTAAAATACTTTGGGTATTTGGTAGCTTTCGATTTTAGCTCTTTTAGTTGCAGAAAAACAGAAAGCCATTACAAAGAATATAAAAGGGATAATTTATTATGATACACTAGGGACATATCATGAAAAACAAAGACAGGACCTGAGATCAGGCTTTATAAGGTAGCGATCAAGAAGTAGAGAGCCACTGAAAAGTCACATGGTCTCTGGCCTCCTCTCTGTCACATCTGTTCCTCCTCTTCCTTCCTGTCCTCCTGTGGTCTCACCTGCTACAGTCATTCACACCTCATTTCCAATAGCATCTGCTGAATCTGTGCTCTGAACCTTGATGGGGACTGCACAGAGGTGGAAGGAAGGAACTGTAGGTACCAGAGCTGCCTCATGATTGATTCTATGCTTCTGGATACACTGGTTTGAATTTCACCACCCACTCATTCGGAAGCTCTGCCCTGGCCATGTTTGTTTGTTTTAAAGCCTATTTAACTGAACCTGTAGGAGTGTCTATGAAAGCACAGTCCAGAAATGTAAAATACTGTACACAGCCCAGTAAGTGTTTTAAGGTTTGAATAAAATAAAACAATCTCCTCTCTGATCTCTCTCCCACTGCTATCGTTCACTCTGGTTTCCATCTTTGATCATTTTCAATCTGGTAGTGTTAGCCAAACTTCCTACATTTCTCAGGTGGTCTATTTCCAAATGGACTAGTCTATAAGACTGGAATAATACAACAAAAAAATTGGGCATATGAGAGCAAACAGCCTGACTGAACCCTAATATATTGACTAATCATTTGCAGAAAATATTTTTCTCCCAATCCCATGTATGTTCATAGTCTATTTGAATAATTTCAAAATAAGGGAATTTCAGAGCTGATATCAATATTATAGGAAAAATGGTTAATGTTAGTTGGATATACTTGTCCTTACTTTCCATAAGGCATACTAGTAAAATAAAAATATTTGAGGGGAACTTATCTTAAACCCATTCATTTTTCTTCTTCTAGCTTATATGTGCCTATTTTCATGTGTAAATTTATCTCACAGCAACCACAGATATTTTTCTGCCTTCCTTCCTTTACCATATCATAATATAAAATTATACTTAGTTCCCATCATAAGCCTCATAATAACGTCCCACCCTATTGGACTCTGAACTACTTTCCGCAATTCATTTTTCAAAAGTGCTAAACTTTAACTAGAACGTTTGGATAAAAGGCAAGACCGTGCCATGCCAGCACAGCCATTTGGACAAGGTTTCTCACTGAACCGGGGGTGACCATGACGTGCTGTGAGGGGTGGACATCCTGCAATGGAATCTGCCTGCTGATTCTACTTGTGATTGGAGTAGTTCTCAATGCGATCCCTCTGGGTATCGACTTAGTTGAGCAAGACAAAGATTTTCAAAACCCCATCTCTTGCTATGAGTGGTGGTTCCCAGGAATTATAGGAGCAGGTTTGATGGTGAGTAATGTTTATTTGACTTGATTTGGAGAAGGGCCTGCTTGGTTTTTAACATTTCGAAAGACTGTCTTTCAGCCTTGCTGTCAGAGATGGATGGTTAGGAGCAGTGATGTCGTATCAATTTATATTGGTTACCAGTGAACAATGGTAAACTAAATAAACTATGTGATGCTGGATAGGGACATTTTAAATCCTTTCCCTCAACTTCCCTTTGCCCTATACCAGTCTCTAAGGATTTACAGGGAATACAACAGAAATGGGAAGTTGCTCAGTGGGAGTGAGAAAGAACATTCCCCTGCAGGATGAGCAGCCTGCATGATAAAGGCATGGCTTGGCTGTGGCACCACTTGCATGTACAAGGAGCTGGCCTGAGAGGTGCAGCCTGAAATCCTAGGTTTCTCATCTCACAGGCTTGTTGGTTTGGTTCTGACCTAGGGCCCAGAATGTCATGGAATTTAATAGTTTGACGATGACCGATAGGTCTACCTTTGTTGCGTAGTGCAATACAGAACTCATGAGCATACTTGATCACAAACACCGGAGGCATCTGCAGCAGTGAGATTTAGACCCTTCCAAGGAACCCTGATGCAGCAGACCTGGTCAGGACCCACTAGTATGGTGAAATTCTGTTTTCAGACTATCTCAGCTATAGGTCTGTCTCCAAAATATTACAGTGAGAAAATCATCTGTGCCGTGATTTTGTTCCCATATTTGTAAAATAGGGCAGTGGATATTGAAGTTGAAAATTCAGCATCCAGAAAGTTTGCTTTTGTTTGTTCTACCACTTGTGTGCTATATCAGGGGCTCTAGTTAGTGATGGAGAAATGAGTTTCCGTGTGTGTGTGTGTGTGTGTGTGTGTGTGTGTGTGTGTGTGTGTGT